GTCTTCAGCGGCTCAGATGTCGGGAGTAAACGACGACTGCTATGTTCATTATTACCGCTCCAGCGGTGAAACACTGGCGGACTGATGACAGCTCGCTCAGGGCGGGTCTAAGGTAAGACGCCAGTCCAGTCTGTGCTGAAACACCACTGTCAATCAAACTATCGTGGGAGGGGCCTGTCTTTGTGATGTCACACAGACAGGCATCTGAGATCGCCTCAATTTGAGAAAGGGGTAAATATTTTAGTAGATTAAAAAAAAACACTGGGTGGGTTTTTATCATTATAGGGTGGTTGTGTACACACACTGCCAACACACATTTCAGTTCAAACAACTTGTAAAAGTGCATGTAGCAGCCGATGACCCCTTTAAGGTATTTTATGTGTATAATTAATTAGTAATGGAGATAGGTTGGAAGTTGTATTTTCTAACAATGAAGTGCTACTAATAGAGCTGCACGATTAATCGTTAAAAGATCGCGATCTCGATTCAGACAACCACAGAATCTCATTTCTAAATGACAACGATTCTCCCGTGTCTATTAAACCTTTGACTAAGTCTTACCGGATAATTCAAATCTGCGTTCGCACTGCCGCTGACACAGAGAGAGCAGTTACCATGTTTGGTTAAGAAACAGCTTCACAAACAGTCTTTTCAACTACACACTAGGTGGCAAAAAGTGACTTAAAAAATGTATAATTGAATGAATCATTTATTCAAGAGAATCGTTAAAAAACGCTGATTCATCCATTAGGTTTATGAGTGAGTCGCTGAATCATTTGATTCATTGATTCTTTTTCATAATTTTAATATTAAATTGAAGTATTAAATATATTTAATATATTTTAAATACATATACACTACCAGTCAAAAGTTTTTGAACCGTAAGATTTTTAATGTTTTTTTTAAAGAAGTCTCTTCTGCTCACCAAGCCTGCATTTATTTGATCCAAAGTACAGCAAAAACAGTAAAATTTTAAAATATTTTTACTATTTAAAATAACTAGACAACCACAGAATCTCATTTCTAAATGACAACGATTCTCCCGTGTCTATTAAACCTTTGACTAAGTCTTACCGGATAATTCAAATCTGCGTTCGCACTGCCGCTGACACAGAGAGAGCAGTTACCATGTTTGGTTAAGAAACAGCTTCACAAACAGTCTTTTCAACTACACACTAGGTGGCAAAAAGTGACTTAAAAAATGTATAATTGAATGAATCATTTATTCAAGAGAATCGTTAAAAAACGCTGATTCATCCATTAGGTTTATGAGTGAGTCGCTGAATCATTTGATTCATTGATTCTTTTTCATAATTTTAATATTAAATTGAAGTATTAAATATATTTAATATATTTTAAATACATATACACTACCAGTCAAAAGTTTTTGAACCGTAAGATTTTTAATGTTTTTTTTAAAGAAGTCTCTTCTGCTCACCAAGCCTGCATTTATTTGATCCAAAGTACAGCAAAAACAGTAAAATTTTAAAATATTTTTACTATTTAAAATAACTTTCTATTTGAATATATTTTAAAATGTAATTTATTCCTGTGATTTCAAAGCAACATTTATCTGAAATATAAATATTTTGTAACATTATAAATGTCTTTATCATCACTTTTGATAAATTTACAGGATCCTTTCTAAATAAAAGTATTAATTTATATAACTCCCTCCCCTCAAAATAAAAAACTGACTCCAAGCTTTTGAATGGTAGAGTGTATAATGTTACAAAAGTGTTTTATTTCAGATGAATGCTGATCTTTCTATTCATCAAAGAATCCTGAGAAAAAAAAAATTTACTCAAGTGTTTTAAATATTGATAATAATAATAATAATAATAATAATAATAAAATGTTTCTCGAACAGCATGTCAGCATATTAGAATGATTTCTGAAGGATCATGTGACACTGAAGACTGGAGTAATGATGCTGAAAATTATGCTTTGACATCACAGAAATAAATTACATTTTAAAAAATATTCAAATAGTAAACAGTTATTTTAAATAGTAAAAATATTTCACAGTATTACTGCTTTTGCATCAAATATATGCAGGCTTGGTAAGCAGAAGATAATTCTTTAAAAAACATAAAAAACTTACTTTTCAAAATCTTTTGACTGGTAGTGTTTATGAAAATGGTTAATACTTCATTCAAATTAATTAAACACTTTTAAATAGACTGCAGCAATCATATTTTGCCACACATTATTTTGTTTAGTTCAGAATCGTGGGAGAATCGTGATCTCTATTTGAGACAAAAAAAATCGTGATTCTCAATTTCTCCAGAATCGTGCAGCTCTAGCTGCTAATACTCCTTGTGTTCTCCCTTGACATTTGCATTAAGAGAACATACGTCAGTATTGTGTTTGTATACACTTTCATTTATTCCTTACATTTTCTTCAGTTGGTCTTAAAAAGGACTTACATTTTCCTTCATAAAACTTTGTGTCTTGTGATTTGTGTCAACTTTTGTGGCAATAATATCTCATAGCTAATGTTTCTGCAAAGAATCACTGAAGAACCTTGTTGCACTGCTATTAAAGGAGTCATGACATGGATTTTTTTATATGTTCTTTGAGGTGTACTTATAATGTTAATAAAGTTTTTGCACACAAAAAAAACACAAAAAAGCAAATACATTGAAAAATGATTATTTTCAACCCTCATTCTGACCCTCTGTCTAAAATGACCTGTTTTAAGGGGCGTGTCCTTTAAGGCTGGTCAGGAATCAGCCACTGTTATGATTGTGTGTCTTGTGATTTGTGTCAACTTTTGTGGCAATAATATCTCATAGCTAATGTTTCTGCAAAGAATCACTGAAGAACCTTGTTGCACTGCTATTAAAGGAGTCATGACATGGATTTTTTTATATGTTCTTTGAGGTGTACTTATAATGTTAATAAAGTTTTTGCACACAAAAAAAACACAAAAAAGCAAATACATTGAAAAATGATTATTTTCAACCCTCATTCTGACCCTCTGTCTAAAATGACCTGTTTTAAGGGGCGTGTCCTTTAAGGCTGGTCAGGAATCAGCCACTGTTATGATTGGCTAAGGTCATTGCACAGGAAACAGTATGAACACCCCTCGCTATTGCATGTGAGTGTTAGTGTTTTGACAACATGATAAAAAAAAAAGGTAATTTCTGGACAGAGAAGTAAGAAAATATTTACTAACGGTTTGTGATGCAGCTGCAGTCAGATCATGTACCGCTTCATCTTTCAACAAATGTTTCTTTGTGAACTCTCCATGACACTGTACCTCATTTACAAAACAAAATACTCCAAACAATCCTCTAACACGATCTGGGATGCCATTAAAAATAAACTATCCACTTGTTCCTTATGCTGGGATCCTTCTGATATCTGTACAAAGATGCAAACGAGCTGTTTAAACCAAATGCGTCAAAGCGAACATTCTTTCACTCCATTTGTCCTGACGACAGAATCGAGCGTGTGGACTGTGTCAGAAAGTGAATGAGCATCTCTATACTGTATCCAGTGTAGACAAGATAGCGACAATGATTGTAATTTCTATTTGCTTTTGACACGACGCAACACTCGCAGTCAGCGTGATCAAGTGTCAGCCTTAAAGGGAGTGAAGACCAGTGGGCGGAGCCTATTGTGAGAAGATGACTATTCGTCAATGTCTTGCTCTGGAGGCAGTGTTTATGCAAATGTTTGTGCCCGGTTGACATTATCTTGCACCTCAGATCCAAAACGAGCCGTTTTTGGAGCTTGATTAAATAAATGCTTTGTTTATAATGAGGAGGATGTTTTAAGCTATTAAACTTAAAGGATCTTTTAATGGTACAAAGATCATATACCAAAAGATTAAGGCAAATTTGATTTCTCATGTCTTGACCCCTTTAAGCATTACATGTTTGTTTTACATTTATGAATAGCTTTTGGCAAATAATACTCACATATTGCAAACTCTCATTGATCACTAACCTGGATGGAGACTGTAGCATGTGACATTGGTTCCCTCCAGTCTCTTGGCCAGTTCATGGGTGAAGAGCACATTACAGAGCTTGCTGTGGGCGTAGGCCCTGAATAAATTGACATCAGACGATCCCAGAGCGAGCTTCTTGTGTGTGTTGATGCAGTCAAAATCAATAGTGCCCAGATCATGACCACAAGACGACACGTTGACCACCCTGCTTGGCGCACACTCCTTGAGACGCTCCAACAGAAGATTGGTCAACAGGAATGAACCGATGTGATTGACACCGAGGATCATCCCGAGGCCATCTTCAGTGCGTCCTGGAGCGGCCAGTGCTTAACAACACAACAAACAGGTATCAGTCATGGTATCTCAAACCACAGCTTACACTTCCAGTCAAAATTTGGAATAAGATTTTTAAATGCTTTTGAAAGAAGTCTCTTATGCTCAAAAATACAGTAAAACATTCATATTATTACAATTTAATTAAAATTTTCAGCAGCTTTTCTCAGCATACTGTTGTGGAAACTTTCAGAGTAAGATTGAAGTAATAATAATTATATAAATACTAATTAAAGGCACAATATGTAAGATTTTTTTATTAAAATATCCAAAAACCATTAGAACAGTGTTATTTATTTTGCTGACTTGTGTACTTACATTATCCCAAATGTTTCGAAGAATGTTTAAATCCAGACAAATAAGCAATTTTAACTAGTGACACGGACCGTGCCCATAGTGTCATTGTGTCGCCTGCCAATGACGTCATAACCCCTCGATTTCCAGTTTTGTTTCGTAGAAAATATGGAAAACCAAAGACGCTTTAATATGTTGTGTGTATTAATAGACCGGTGACGACCACACAGAGTAGCATTATAACAGAATGTCCAAATGTATCTAGTATGATAAAACAGCGCTGCTTTTTTTCCCCACACATACGCATGACCGGAAGGAGCGTAAGCAGTCGACTGTGGCATAATAAAAGCTCTGCTGCTTTCGAGTCATGTGTCGCGCTCGTTCAGCGGCCTCATTTCGCTTCGACGGCTTTCAGCCTCACCCTGCTTCATTCTACTACGTTAATAAATCATGATTTCAGCCCGAGTCCCGTTGCATTGAATCGGCTGTGGGGATGAAGACCACAACTCTCATGATTCCACACTCAGTCACGGTGTCATCAAACTATGCCTTAAAATTATGATTTCATTTATTAAGTGTAAAAATCTGTCCAAACCTGCCTGGCACTACATGAAAAAGTAATTGCCCCCT